ACAGTGTTAGATTTTCAGAGAAATGGAAAGATGGTACAGAGAGTTCCCATATACACAGCACTCAGTCTCCCTATAATTGACATCTCACATTTGTGTGGTGCATTGCTATAATTGGTGAGCTATAATTAATACATTATTAAAATCCATGCTTTATTCACATGTCCTTAATTTTTATTTAATATCCTCTTCTGTTCCAGGATCCCACTCATGATACATTACATTTAGTGGCCATGTTTCCCGAGACTCCTCTTGGCTGTGGTAGTTAAGGTTCCCTTTTATAACAATTATTTTTAAATATTCATTATTGTGATCATGAAATAGAATCATAGATTGTATCTACACACATAGTTTAAACCTCAGTATAAAGACCTAATTATAATGAAGGAGTAAAAGTAAAACAAAAATATTTAATATGTATTTGCTTTTATAAATGCTCAGTCCAAACTGCACCGAAAGTCTTAAAGAAGTATAGTTGACCCTTGAACAACATAGATTTGAACAATGAGGGTCCACTTACCTGCAGGATTTTTCAGTAAATATGGTAAATGTATTTCCCTTATGATTTTCTTAATAACATTTTCTTTTTCCCTAGTTTACTTTATTGTAAGAATACATATAAACTATAATACATATGACATATAAAGTGTGTGTTAAACAACTACATATGTAATCAGTAAAGCTTCCGGTCAACAGTGGGTTATTAGTAGCTAAGTTTTGAGAAAGTCAAAAATTGTATGTGGTTTTTCTATTGCACAAGGGGTCAGTGCCCCTAACTATATCTGACTATATTTGTTCAAGGGTCAACTACAATCAGGTATTTGCATCTACACTACTTAGAATTTAAAAGCAGTAGGACAAGAATGGAATATTATTGACACTTCTTAATTTTTGACATTTTGAAATAAGAGCTTGTGAAAAATAATATAAACAAAGCCACTTTAAAATGGAGTTGGAGATGCCACCTCAGAGGAACTTCTTTGTACTTCTTAATCCTTTAAACTTTGAAAATTAAAACTGGGCAAATAACCTTTGGACTGAGCCTCAAGCAGCTCTGTATTCCAAATTATTGTTTGCTGTGACTCCCGGACTGGAAATTAAAGATATTCTTTAGAATTAGCGTCACCTTGTTTGCTTATCTACAGCCATAGAAATTCCTTCCTTCTATTCCTGCAATCATTCCCCTCCTCTTTCTCATCAACACCCCTTGTGCTCACCTCCTCATCAGAGCACTAGCCGGGTTTCTGCCTTACTCAGTGCTTTCAGAATAGCTATTCCTTTGGGTCTCAAACAAATGCTTGTTGCCTCTTCCTTGGCCTTTTATTTTTAGGTACAAGCTCGGGAAAAATCTTCACATACACACACGGAATGACAGGCCTGTGTCAGTTATACAGTTGACAGGTGCAGACGTGTTGGCTGCTGACTCAGCTGCCATGAGTGGAACTGCTTCAGTGTCCCAATTCCCTAAAATGGTGAACAACTTAAAGTATTTCCTAGATTCATACCGTAAAGTCATGCACGGCTTAATAGAGGGGTACATTCTATTAAGAGAAATGCGTCATTAGGTGATTTCATCATTGTGTGAACATCATAGAGTGCACTTAAACCTACATGGTATAGCCTACTGCAGCCCTAGACTATCTGGGATTTTGCTCTTGTGGATGAAAGCGGGGCTCCACAGAAAGTAACCTCACAGAGTGATCTGATCATAAATTCCTAAAAGGGCAGGCCCTGGTAAGTGGTCACACCCCGGGCCTATAACTTCTGAAGTAAAAGGTTTATCTTTGCCTTAAGCGAGCCCTGTCCATTGTTCTGGTGCATCTAGGTTAATGTACCTTTGAAATAAGCATAACCACCTTCGAGAGAGCGCATAATCTTGTTGACTACCCTGAATTTAATCCCCAGTTGCTTTCTCCCATCTTCATAAAATCTTCCTTATATTCCCTCCTTAATTTCTAGTGCATAAAATAAACTGAAAATTTGCCATTCTCAGCATCATTTGAGATCAGTATATGTCATTAGTTTGGCTCAAATAAAAATTTATAACAATTCTTTACAGGGTTGGATGTTCCTACACTGACATTCTGTAGTGGAGGAAACATGATTTCCCCTATAACCTTATGTGTTCTTGGCTAAGACATCCTGCAATAAGGACAGATTAACATGAGAAAAAAAAACCCAAAAGTTTAATAACATATATACCTCCTGTACACCTGGGAGAGCTCTGGGAACACTGAGTAACTTGCCAAAATGAGTGAAATCACAATCTCCAGCAGAAGACAAAAGAAGATGTTGGGGGAGTCAGCTATAGAGAGTACCAAGAAAAGCACAGGAAACAAGGGTAAGATTGTTAAATAAGGGTAAGGTTGCAGGTGTATGTCATGGCCTTTTGCATTGAGTTTCTAGAGGTAGGGCCTTTCCCCTCTTGCTGGTACAAGATGATTTACCTTGGAGATTTACTTGCACATGCAAACATCTTTCACACAGGGCAACTTCCACTTGTTTTTTTAGAGCTTCTCTGATGTCTGCTGTTTCTTAAAGTCAACCAGCCTGAAATAAACCTTAGGCCAAGTAGGCATTTTGGGGGGTGACAAATTCTGTTCCCCTACATCTCCTAGGCTAAAAACCTGTACAGCATGTCACTGCACTGAGTACTGTAGGCAATTGTAATACAATGATAAATATTTGTGTGATGCATTACACAAATGCATGATGTCACTAGGTGATACCAAATTTTTGGCTGCACTATAATATTATGGGATCACTGGTATATAGGAAGTCCTTCATTGTTATGAGGCATAGGATTGTAGTTGCATTTACAGAAAATCCAGTAAAGAAATAAAATGGTGCCCTGACCGGTTTGGCTCAGTGTATAGAGCATCGGCCTGCGGATTGAAGGGTCCCGGGTTCAATTCCAGTCAAGGGCATGTACCTTGGTTGTGGGCACATCCCCAGTAGGGGGTGTGCAGGGGGCAGCTGATTGATGTTTCTCTCTCATCGATGTTTCTAACTCTCTATCCCTCTCCCTTCCTCTCTGTAAAAAATCAATAAAATATATTTTTTAAAAAATGGAGTCACTATCAGTCAGGTGTAAGAACTTGAAAATATTTTGGGAGACTCAAGGAGAGAGGAACTCACCCAAATCTATAGGTATTACAGGCAAAGTCTGATGGCAAATCCTTGCCTTGGCTTTTCTGGTTTTGAGAGACCTTTTAAAGTTCAACCTCATGATTCTTTATGAAAAAACAACAACAAAACAAAACAAAAACAGCTAAGCAGAGTTAAAAGAGTTATATAGTTAATTACTATTCTTGTGGCTCCTATGTAAACAACAGGCCAAGTTTATTGAAACAAGACTTGTTTTATAAGCAAAGTATTCTTAATTTGGCTATCTTTGGTAAAAATAAGAGTGATTTTAGAGGAAGATTGTGTCAGTAATATCCCTTTGTGGATATTAGATTCCAGTACTGTTCATTGTCTTTTGAGGTTTTGTTCCTACCTGTGAGCTGGATTGGATCCTGAATTCTTCCATTTCCCCCAGCATCTGGCTCTCATTCTGCAAATGAATGCTTCCAATTTTTCTGCCATCCTTTGACTTAAAATCATTGAGAATTAAAACCGCCCTTTCCCAAAGCCGTGTAAGCTACAGTGCGACACCTGAGAACAACTTCAGAGAAGTCGCCACAACAGCTCAAATATGGACAATCTTTGTGCCGGTTGCAGAAAAATCACCAGTGACATTCAAACTGCAGACCAGGAGAACTATCAGACTGTCCCTGGTCGCCTTCACTCCATCTGAAGATGCTTTGAGCCAGACACCTAGAAGTCTACTGGCTGCCTTCAGCACTCAGAGACTGGGATTAAGTGTGCTTCAATCGTTAACCGTTGTTTTTCTTTTGTTTCCATAGAGATGCCTCTTATTAAACACCCGACTGCTTGTATCACAGACCATAGCCCTAACTGCGGGAGCCATCGGCATCACCTCCTGAAATAAGAGACAACTGTTTACTGAACTGACCTATACTCAAGGCTGAGACTGCTTTCTGAAACTAGTGTGTAATAATAATGTCTTTATGGGTCCTTCTTAATGCTTTAACCTCAATATTGGCACCCATATTGAGCTGACTACACACTCATTTATGTAAAGCATGTCTCTCGCCTATATCCCCCCTCCGAGGGACATAATGGACCCAAAGAAGGCATTGCCACCTTGGCATCGATGCACATTAAAACATTTTGTTTGATTTATGATGCTTTCTGAGAGATAAATCCTGGTCAATTTCCTTCCTTAAAGGAGGAAATAAGGAGTAGAGTGAAGAAATAAAATGGAGTCACTATAGTTAAGCTGCTAAATTACTAAAATTAAGTAGGTTGAGGCATGAGGAAATGATTCTACTTTTGTTTTAACTAGGCTGGGATTTTAAACTTTTAAATTTTCAGTCGTAGATATACACCTGGCGCCCCTCTCCTAAGACCATCATTCAGACTGCCTAGATTTCAGTGATAACTTTTCTGAACCAATCTTAAGGCTAAGAATGCAGGACAGATTATTCTCAAGAATGTAGTTTTTACTATAAGAACCCTAACCTTTCTTCTTCAGAAGACTTCAGCTATGTTTCCAGTTTGAAAAACATGAGACTCTTGTGAATTTTATCATTCATTCCCAGCAAAGCCTCCGGACTCTTTTTTTTTGTTGTTGCATTTGTTCCACAACAGTGTGCATTTAAATGGTGTAAAACTATTTTGTGCTTATATGTAAAACAGAATTAAAGTTCTAATGTAATTAGAAGCACATTTTAAACGGTCCAAGTATCCAGTCTGACGTATGAAAGCCATGGGGGCCACAAGCAATCAGTGTGCTGCGAATTCCTGTGCGTGGGGGACCTGCATCCCTGTCCACTCTCAACTAACCGCCAGTGCCCCGCCCCCCTCCTCCAATCATTGTGGTAACCAATTAAAGCAACTGCAAATTTCCAAAATTGCCTCTAGGGGGCAGTACCGGTGTGGGCTGCGGTGCTAGAAGAGCTTAACAGGAGACTTGCCTGGGTCTCTTCCTTTGTAAAAAATAAAGATAGTTGAGTGAGGGAGACAATGCAGGTAAAACACTTAGCAAAATGCGTGGCACGCATTATGTCCTCCAAGAGTGTAAACTAATATTACCTGCCAGTGAATCAGCAGAGATTGTTTGGGGAACATTGTGTCCTTGGCGTCCAGGTAGATGTGGGTGAGTGCAGATGGGATCAGGCAGGCAGCACAATCACTGCCTCACACGTGAAACAGGCCATGAATAATTAAACACTAACCGTTCACAAAAAGAAGCTCCCAGGGAGAGCTGGAATCAGAGAAACCTTTCTGAAGGAGATAAGAATTGAACCAGGGCATCTGGAACTTGAGAATATATATTTATCCCAAGAATAATAATTAACTCCTAGATTCTTACTTCTCAAAAGTGTGGCCTTCAGACCACAGTGTCAGCAGTGCCTGGAGGTTTGCTAGAACTCTCAGCCTCCAACCCAGATCTGCTGAGTTAGAATCTGCATTTTAACGAGAATCCTGGGTGTTCATCTGCACACTCACACCTGGATGTGCTGGACTAGGGAACCAGTTGAGAACCAGAGGCAAGAACAAAGATACTTGCTCCTTTGAGAGAACACAGACAGACCTTGGTGTGTGTGTGTGTGTGTGTGTGTGTGTGTGTGTGTGTGTGAGAGAGAGAGAGAGAGAGAGAGAGAGAGAGAGATGTAAATGAAGATTTTCATCCAGATTTCAGATCTTCTTAATCAGAATCTCAAAGCAACGGGGAGCCAGCATTTAAACAAACAAACAAAGAAAGGCTTCCCAGATGACTTTAGAAAGGGGAGTGAGCTCAAAAAATACTGATGCCCCGGTCCCAGATCAGACCAATTCCATCACCGATGCTGTGGGATCTCCATCAGTGGGAGATCTGGTTCTTTTTGGTTCTTAAACTCCCCAGGTGATTCAAATGTTTGAGAGCCTCAAAAGAGGGCAACCTGGAGGGAAGTCTGTGTGGGAGAGAGCAAGGAGGTGGTGTGTGTGTCTGCAAACACCCGAAGGTTTGTCTACATTCAAGGCAGAACAAAGGTTGGGAGATAGGTAGAATTTTTCATTTTTTTTTAATCCAAGTAATCATAAAAAAAATTTTTTTTCTTTCTTTCCTCCCTCCCACCTTCTTTTCCTAGAAGAAGGGGCGTATGAAATGACCTAGTCCAACTCCTTCAGTTAGTAGGGACGAAATTAACGATCAAATAGGTAAAGTGAGTTGGCCAACATCAACTCAAATCTTCGCATTCCTACCCAGGGATCTCACATGAAATGAAATTCTCTTCCCTTTTCTAGTGACGTTCCCACTGGTGACACCGCAAAGGCATTTAAATCCTATTGTGATTTCAATCGCAGGCAAAAGAAAACATTCTACAAAAACAAACAAAACCACCAAAAACAAAACAAGAAAACAACAGAGTACCTACCCCCCCCCCACCCCAAAGTAGGCAGGCTTTAAAGAAGGAATTGGCATTTTATAGCTCATTGAATTTAAAGACGAAATCTAAAACTTAAATGTCTATTTAAAAATGAAATCTAATTTGGATGGTGGTACTATTGAATTTAAGATAAGTCTGACGAACGGCCTGTCCACCTCTGAACCTCTGGGGCTGACGGGGAGCGGGCTGGGCCCCGGC